CTGACCTCATGATCTCAGTGCCTTTAGTTGGCATGACTGGGATAAACAGAGCTCTGCACTTTGGAATATTGCATACTTTGCACTAACTCTAAAACCACAGAAAACTTAAACTGCTGTCACAGGCTAAGAACTTTTTGTACATGCAGAATGGCTTTAGAAGAGTTTTGAGATTATTTTGAAGACTTAAAGCAAAGAAGCCTTTCAGGGTTACAAGAGCTTGGAAATCTCTGCCCTCTGGCACTCAGGGCAAAGATTCAATGCAACTACTAGAACTGCTGTGGCATAACTGAGTGTGTAAATATCTCAAAAATATTAATTATGGCATTGACCAAATCCCTATTTCTGCTCACATCTGAAATTATATAATATGATGAGTTAGATGTTATAAGAAGTCTTCATTTGCAAATCTGAAGTTTTATGTTGACTCTATATGATGAAAGTTGATTTAAAACTGAAGTATCTAGTAGCAAGGGTGGCTAGTAGACAAATAAGTGGATCAGATGTGAATTCAACCTTCTGTCATATTTATCCAACTCTTAATTTTATGCTGTCTTTACTTACTGCCCCCTGTATGGAGGATGAACTTTAATTGTTTCAGGTTCCCTGTGGGCAGTAGTAAAAGTGCACCCCTGTCATATGGTGCAGAGGCTGTTGGGGTGCACCCTTGTGTGACAGGGTGTCATGACTGGAGTGTTGCAGATCACATGAGTAAATTTTAAAAAAAAAAAATTCCCCTTCTGAAAGAGTGCACCCCTATCCTCTGGACATGTTTTGGTCATGTGCCAGATGTGCACTTGACAAGATGGAGCAGTCTGTGCCCTTCGGGTGCTCTCATGAAGTAGCTGTGGCCCACCTTGGTGGAAAAGTTAACCATTTGAGTCCAGTTTTATTTGCTCTTTTAGTGAGTTGCAAGATCTAAATTTGATGCACTTAGGCTGTATAATAGTGGTATGAATTTTAAATCTATGAAGTCTTTCTTCTTCCTGTGCTCCACATTGATACATCTTATTTCTCCCAAGAAAATGTGGTTTTGTACCTCTTAAAAAAGGTTGCAGAAATTCTCAGTTAGTACACAAGTATGTACAGTAAACTACATGAATTCAAACAGTGGATATTAAGTATTCTTACACTACATATTTGCAGAACAAAACTTCTCGTGACAGTTTCTGAAATAACAGCAGAACACAAGGCTACTGCATATTGCATTTGTTTCCTTTTGAGTAATTTCTGAAATGAAATCCATTAGATGTTGAACAGAGGGAAAATAATCTAAAAAGGTCTAAATTAAAAAAAACTCAATGGAGAAGGCAGCCTTTTTTGTGACAAACTAACCTAGAAGTGTTTATCCATTCTAGTAGAGTTCTGTATTCTGACACTGGTCAATGGGTGTACGTTACTGGTCAAACAAGTGGTGTTAATGATTATAATAAATCATATCACTAATTTGCCTTTATTGACCCCTTTTCTCACATTTGCACTGAATTTCAGTGATGGCAGTTTCTGCAATGGTTTCCATAAATCTGCATACATTATATACATAATTGCCTGATCCACTGCTTGTAATCTGACAGTCTTCAGAGAATTCATAGTCACTGATCTCAGGATGTATACAAATAAATTCTGTTTTGCTCTTTTTCAGGAACTTCTGCCATGTTAATTACAGACTGCTTAGATCATTGTTCTTACCCGTGTGCCTGGATGACAATGAGACAGGCTGCGGAGTCTGAAAATCCTGTTCAGTCTTTCTTGTATTAAAGCCTTAAAGTGTATAACAGTGTACACTTTTTAAAGTAATTGTATATTTAAACTCTTAATTGTTCAGTGTTTTATTTGGAGCTCAATAAAGAATTTTCATCTGAGTCCCTGTTACAAAGCAATAATGCAACCTCCTGTTCCTTTAGTGACTCTTTTTAGCCTTATGCAGCAAGTGTCAGAGTGTGTGAAGTCTCATGATTAGAATTTAAATGCTTTTGAAAATAGTTTGTCTAATTCATGAACAACTTGGACAAACTAAAAAGAAGATTGGTGGTTTATGCTGAAATGTTTCTTAATAGCTAGTTGTAAACAGGTCTACTCATAACAAGACTCTTGGGTAGAAATGATACTCCACCTCCCATTTGCTTCAGAGACCTGTATGACATGAAGGTGTTCTGATCCCTCTCAATCATAATACGCTGCTTATTCTCTTGCACTTGGTGTTTGATGCATAGAAATATTTTCTCTAATATAGTCCCAGGTTTTCTAGTAGTGGAGTCTTGGATGAGGCTTTTACACCTTGATAAATCTTGTATCTAACATTCATGTTTCCTCAGTGCTTTCTGGTTTATATTAATTGTGATTGTGATAATTTTTAACAGAAATAAAATGCTGATCATTTAATTTCTTGTGTTTTCCTAAAGATTGCTTGTGAAGTATGAGTGTCCCATTCCCCAGTTGTTTCCATGAGGTGCCTTTTTCTTCACTGAAACTGCAATTCATCCCAAGTAAAGCATAATTTGAGTCTATTTTATCTTGAAAATAAGCAATATCACTTAATAGCTTGAGACCAAATGCCTCCTCTTTAACATGCATTCATAACTTCTAGTATCATATACTGACTGTTGACTTTTAAATACACAGGAAAGTTGAGAAAATGAAGTTTGACTCTGGCACCAAACTGTCTTGAGTAAGATATCATTTTTAATAGATGGCAAAAAAAAAACTGGGAGAGTCTGTATTTTTATCCTTGAAATATTTAAGGTGAATTTATCAGTTAATCTCACAATCTGGGAAGATTTTCCCTGCCATCATCTTCACTCTACAACTGCATTTCTGCAGTGTTTCCTACAGCAAACCATAGTAATTATTTAAACAAGGAAAAGCAAAATCCAAAAACCTTTGAATGAGCACAAGAGATGTATAATAATGATTCCCTTCAGAATGACAGACAGGAACCTCTGGTGTGGAACAGCACCTAACATTTTAAATGCTAGCCAAGTATAAAAATGGTCTATGGATACTGCAGAGGGGATGTAGATAAGCAGAATGCAATTTCACTTGCTGTAATTTGGGACAGACACCAGGATTACCAACACAGTCTCATTTGAGGAGTGCTATGAAATATTCAAGGAGTGAAGTATCAAGCCTTGAGCTCTGGAGTTATGCACAACAGAGCTTCTTAATGTCTATACTAAAATATTTTGCTAGTATGACCTATTTTAATATGAGGCTATCAAGCAGAACTGGTAATTTTTGAGATCCTGTCCAGAGTGGCCTAACACAGGCACTGCTGGGGTCCAGTCAAAGGGGGCTGACTGCAGACTGTGAAGCTGGTTGTCTTGCAAGCACTTTGCTTCATTCCACTAAAACCTTACAAACTGAC